GTGGGCAGGACTTTGATCGGTAGATTCCAGCTGAAGGTGTCCACATCCACATGCTCCGCCCCAGCCCACACTGTGACCTCTGATTGGTTCTGCAGGACAGTGGGCGGTTCCATAGGCTCCCGGGCAGTAACGAATTCAAAGTGCAGGCGCCACCTCAGGGTCACTAAATAAACAAAAGAACCGGAGTAAGTAATTTTATTTTCATATACATTTTCATATACATTCTATGAAAAGTACCTAGGTTTATGTGTAGATGTTACCGGTCGTGTCCTTTTTTACGCTTTTGCCGGCACATTCCTACATTTCTTAGTGTGGAGCCACAAGGAAAAATAAGAAATGCTCGTCACCCACATGCTTGTAAAACTTTCCATATTAATAGGTGTGAATCATTTTTATTCAAATTTAGTCACTGCCTTAAAGCACTGTAAACCCACACTGGTTTTTGTGTCCTTCTCTTCTGTGGTTAGCCCATTGAGTTTACGTGTAATTGATATTGTCATTATCCAGGTTCAGACTACACAGCATCAGCCCGATTATGACTCAGCCCAGCTTACACAGGGTGTTGTTTTGGTTCAGAAACAAAATGTGCATCGTGCATAACAGCTGATCATTTTATCCTGCACTCCATCAAATAATGGATGAAAACTCACACTTCATCTGGGAAGCCTGGCCGGTACTTTAATAAAAACGTTAAAATACTGCCTTGGAACATCTGCTACAAATTATGAGTGAGAAGTAAGTAAGAAGCAATGGGTGAAGTTTAGCCCCTTTATCTTAAAAACATTTAATTTTACAAGTATTAGGATTTATTATAATCTTTGGCTGTCATACATAAATATGAATATTTTGAAAACTACATACGAAAATGATGGAGAACATCTATTTGATATGGCTAACACAAACTCACGCTTTCTGAAAGAGGTTAATATGGGTTTAGGATGTGGTGTCATACCAGGGGAATATCGTATTCGATTTAGATGAAACTTTCTTATTCAAACTTTAATATTTATGAAATCCTTTACTTATTTTGAACCATATTTTGTGCCTTGTATATGAGAAGCTACAAAATCTAAGTCCTCTACTTGCAAAACTGTGTTTCTACAGGCCTGTGCTGTAGAATCTGCTGTCAGCAATAGAACATCCATTCTATCTGAACTTCATCCACACTACTGAGAGTCTATATGGAGCCATAGTACAGACACTCAGAAAAGTTTGAAGGACTTTTCAAGATTATGTCATTTTTAGATGCCTTCTGAAAATGTATGCAAGGAAAACATTTAAAAACATCCTGACATTCATCGCTTGAACTTTTTTTCAGAAAACTAATGAACCTGGAATTGTGCTTAGCTCATATAGGCAATTGATGAACTATGCCTACCTTAGTTTCTATGACACTGATCTACAAGTAATTGTTGAGATATGATTGAGCCGTGAGTCAGACATAATTCAGCTTGAGTGACTTACCAATGTCTCTGCTGAAACCCGGCGTGACATTCAGGGGTATGGGAAGAGAGAAGTGGCTGAAGGCCGTGTGGAGGCAAGACTCCAGATGTCGCCCGTGTCCAGTCACACTGGGAGTTTGTCCTGGTCTACGCTGGTACTGCTGCTGGATCTCCTCCTCACTCTGAAGGCTCACTGAATACTGAAACACAAACACACACACACACACAGCTTTAGAGAAAATTCAAAGGGTGACTGAATTGGAAAGTGCATCGTATGAAAATTGTAGAGCAAACACACCTGCAGGCAGGGAATGTCTCCCTCTGAGAAGTTAAACGTGCCGATGATGTCCTCCCCGAGTCTGTAAACAGTCTTAAAGATGCAGAACTTTGCTACTTTCCCACGCATGTTGGTGATATTAAACATATCTGGAAAAAACAAAGACACACACATCAGATGTGGAGACACAAAAAGAATCTGCTGCTTTTATTTTTGCCTTTCAGGTACCGAATGAAGCCAGCATTTTATAGATGTACACACTTATGTGAATGTAACAACTAAAATAGTGAGAAAACAGTTTAATTTGTCAAAATATCCCCAAAGAAAAAAGGGGTTACGCTTACGTTAAAAACAATTTGCATGAAAGCACAAACTAGAGTTTAAACTCCAGCAAAGAGCAGAAGGGCAGAGAATCCGACTCACGGGGGTAGCGCCTCGAGGTGGTGACCATTAACATGTCCAGTGCTCTCTCCAAAGGCCGAGAGTCCCTGCGGCTCACTTCCTCTTCCTCCAGGAAAGGGTTGGAGGGGCAAACCTCTTCATCCTGGGGAAATGGAGGCTCTGGCATGCCTATGTGGGTACATGCAAAAAACACCAACATCAGATAAAAGATTCTCATTTTTTAAAGTCAATTTTCTTGGCAACCTATTAAGTACTTTCTATAAAGCAAAGAGCTCTGGTAACTGTGACATAATCAGACTCTTTTTGCTGTTCAGATAAAAATGAAAATCTACATGCCTGGTTAAGAGACCACAATAAAAGTTTATATCCACGGTATTTTTTTGCCAATACTTCTCTGGTTTTGCTGTCGTTCTAATATTATACTACAGCTGAAGCAAAGATCTTTCAACCACTGTTTCTCTGTGGCTACAACTGTAAAATGAAAGCCAGAGTCGGTCAAAAGTCCATTCACCTTGCAGAACCAACACTCTAAAGGGAACACGAAGTAGCTTGATGGGCGAGTTGACCCTTTGACAGCCAATGGTCAGTTTGTAGACGTACTTCACCGCCTGACCACGGAAACTGGGAGGCCCATCAATGGGAACAACCTCACTGTATGAGTCTGTGAAAGAATGACAATGTTTGCCAGACTGTCTGAGTCTCACACGCACATGTGATATTGTTCTATATGTGGTTTTATCTAGAAACCTCATCATTATTGTGTTAAGTTTTTTATTCTTTAACAGCAGTGTAGATATTTCACTTCACATTATTGTTAACTTTTTTCCACAAATGTAAAGACATGTACATGTTTTACTCTCTCCAGGGTCCAGGCGCAGGTCACAGAATAATATCTTAGGAGGAGTGTCCAGCACACACTGCCCTCGTTCTCCTGGAGAACAAAGCAGGAGATGTTAAATGTATTACACACTAAGAAAGCTATGGAAAAAAGGCTACTAATATGTTGCTACTTTTCATTGTGTGTGAAGACTTGTTGGCAGACACAGCAGCAAATTTATCCAGTATTGGGGATTTTCTTTTTTAAATTCACCTTGTGAACCTTGCATGGCTGTAAGGCAGTTGGATGTATGACCCATACATCCACTAAAGTGGATGTATGGGTCATACATTATGCAAATGTGCTGTTTATAAGATTGGGGAAACCTGCAGTCAGCTGAGACTGAAGAAGTCACTTGGATGAGTGACGAAACGTTTCTCCCACTGAAAATGCTACGTCCAGATGAACAGAATCTACTTTTGGATGTTATAGTGGTGTAGTTTAACTCTTCTGTCTGTAGTCCACTGACATATAGTTTATATAATGTAAGACGTCTGTTTGTCATTGCGTTTACACTAAATGTTTTGAAGTAGTTTAGAATATAAATATTATTTATCTTGAACCTATGCTAAAAGATAAGTTTATGCTTTTTCTGCTAGTCTTAGATTTCATATTTTATTTCTTACCTCTGCTTGGGATGAGCACAGTCTCGCTCTCAGCCTGGACATCCTGTTTGTTGCCCTGAGCCGGCAAGGCTACTCTGTTCTCACTTGCATGAAACTGACAGTGGATCTGGGCGCTGGCCCATGCCAGCATCTCACTGGAACAAAAAATCAGAATCAGACAACAAGGCTTACACAAGGGTACAATTATTTCAGTGTCCTCTGTGTTACAGTCTACCAACAACACCAGGTCACAAGATACCATATAAATCCTAATAACTGTGTTAATAGAAGTGAAATAAAAAAAACAACTCCTTCCTGTTTTAGCAGCTCCGTTTACAGGTTACCACAGTGGATCACCCGCCGCCACCTCACCCCATCTCCAGCATCCTCTGTTAACCCAACCCTCCTCCTTCACTACATCCATGAGTCTCCTCTAAGGTCTTCCTCTTTTCCACCTGCCTGGGTGAATAGTTGATCCCAGGAATTTAAGCTCCTTCACTCACCTGTCTCCTTAAACGTTCACTTTTCCATCTGTCTTCCTCTCATTCACACACATGCATTTTGTCTTGCTTCTACTGACTTTCATTCCTCTTCCCTCGAGTGCATACCACCCCCTCAGTGCTCAGGGACTCTTGCCTGACCAACACCACTGCAAACAAGAAGGGGCACAGAGAAGATCCCTGTTGTAATCCT